ATTAAACTGTTTTTATCTCAACCCACGAGTTTTTCTCACTTGTGCTTTTCCAATTCTCTCCCCCATCCCACCGGGGGGGGGGAAGTGAGCAAGTGGCTGCGTGGTGCTCAGTTGCCGACTGAGGTTAAACCACGACACCATAGTATGAACCAATGTAGGCCAGCTCTTACTTTCAGCAACATTCATTTTCCCAAATATTCTACATGGCAAAGACGTCGTTTTATCTTCTACTAGTCTCCAAAGGAGAGAAAATAAATATGCAAGCAACCAAATCCTTTAAATAATATAAGCAGTTGAGGTATTTGACCCTTGGTCATAACTATGAATAAAACATTTTCATTGAATATATTCGTATGAATTTTTACTTTCTTCTCATTCTTTTCCTGCTTTAGTGTTTCACTTTGAGAAGCAAGAGGTAAAGAATTCTGTTTCTCATAGACTGCAGCTACATTCACTTTCCAAGTTGAACACTTCTGGATTTCGATTACCTCATCAACAATGACACCAGAGGTCACCCTTACTCTAAGTTTTAACATTCACACAGGGATATTTTATACAGAAGCAGACCTTAGTTGAGATTGGAAGAGACCTCAAAGGAGGGTCAACCAGAGCAGGGCCACCTTCAGTGGCTTTTGAGTATCTCCAAGGCCGGAGCCTCCACAGCCTCTCTGTGCAGCCTGTTCCAGTGTTTGACCACACCCACAGTAAAAAAAGTTTTTTCTTACATTTAAATGGAATTTCAATTCCATCAAAATTTCCATTTCAGAACAGTCTGGCTCTGTCTTCCCCCCTGCTCCGCCTGATATTTAAACACATTAGTAAGATCCCCTGAGCCTTCTCCAGGCTAAACAATCTTAGCTCTCAGCCTCTTCCTGTACTACAGATGCTCCAAGCCTTAATCATCTTTGTGGCCCTTTGCTGGACACAATCCTGTACGTCCATGTCTGTCTTATACTGAGGAGCCCAGAACTGTACAAGACACTCCAGGTGTGGTCTCTCAGTGCTGAGTAAAAGGGAAGGATCGCCTCCCTCAAAGAGCTGGCAAGGTTCCTAGTGCAGCCCAGGACAATGTTCGCTGCCTTTGCTCCAAGAGCACATTTGCTGGCTCATGGACAACTACCAGGACCTCCAGGTCCTTTCCTGCCAAGCTGTCTTCTAGCCCGATAGCTGCCAGCCTGTACTGCTGCATGGGATTATTTCACCCCAGGTGCAGGACTTGGCATTTTCCAGTGATGAAGTTCACAAGGGTCCTGTTGGCCCATTTCTCCAGCCTGACAGGGTCCCTCTGAGTAGCAGCACAACCATCTGCTCCGTCAACCACTCCTCCCTGTTTTTTATCATCTGCAAACTTGCGGAGGCTGCACTCCAGCCCATCATCCAGCTGATTAATGAAGAAGCTAAACAGTACTGGCACCTGTATTTACCCCTTGGGTATACCACTAGCAACTGACCTCCAGCCAGACTTTATGTCACTGATGACAAACCTTTGGTTCCAGCAGTTCAGCAAGTTTTCAGCCTGTCTAACTATGCACTTAACTAGTCTGTACTTACTCAGTTTGTCAACAAGGATGTTATGGGAATCAGTGTCTGCCAGAACATGCTGCTAGCAAGGAAAGATTTGCATTGTAGGCACTAGCAATAATGGTTGCCAGATTAAAAAAAAGTAGGAAAAATTTTTACAGTGCATTCGAATGATACCAGGTGCTGAGAGCAATGTCCGACATGCCCCGCTGACACTAGCGCACTTCTTTAAAGTTTATCAGATGAAGGCACAGGATGCGCTACGCTAGAGAGGTTTTACACTCTTCCTGCGCCACTCCCCCGCCGC